AGCGATCTGTGTTTTAACAAGCCCTGCAGATAATTCTGATGCATGAAAATGTTGAGAATGAATTCAGCCACATTCTTCATTGAGAAGGGTTCTTTTGTTGATATATATTCTGAACAATAGAACAGTGCCTGCCACAAAACAAGCCCCAGTAAGTATTTTTTTTTGAATCAAACATTAGATTAGTACCTCCTTTTCCTGCTGACAAATCTAGAAACCTATCTGCATCTGTATTGATTTTCTTCCCTCTTTTTCCAACTAAGGAAATGTGCCTCATTCTGTCAAAGGACAATATTTTCATATATAGATTGAATCTCATTCCTTCTTGCCTTTTCAAGAAATTTGCTCATTTGATCATCCCCTCTTTCCTGCATTATCACTTTTCTCTTTTTGAGTATGTTTGTTACTTTTTGGGGGGTGGTTACTGGGGATTAAACCCAATGGTGCTTTACCCTGAGATGCTGGCATTACAGGTGTATGCCATCACACCTGACTCTGTTTTTCTCTTTTGGATCATTTCATTTCATACATAGTCAGACTCTACACTGTGCTAAAACAACAAGAGCAACAACCTTTCCCTGTCTTACATGTTCTTTATCAGTTACTACCCCATATATCGTTTCCCCTCTCTGCCAAACCTCCTTATGTCCTACCACAAATCAATTCATTCTAGTTTGATTTTCACCTCTCCTATTCAATGATTTTTTTTTTTTTTGACAAAGCCAATGGATCTGGGGGCAGGAAAGAGTGCTGGGGATTGAATCCAGGTGGGCTTTACCACTGAGCTACATCCCTAGCCCTTGTTATTGTGAGACAGGATCTCACCAAGTTGCTGAGGCTGGCCTTGAACTTTTACTCCTCCTGCTGAAGCCTCCCAAATTGCTGGGATTACAGGCAAGCAGTACCACCTCCAGTTTAAGCCAATGATTTTTATAAAAAGCACCAGTGAGCCAGGCATAATAGCCTGTAATCCTAATGACTTGGGAGGCTGAGGCAGGATGATTGCAAGTATGAGGCCAGGCTAGACAACTTAGCGAGATCCTATCTCAAAAATAAAAAGGCTAGGAGTGTGTGGCTTGGTGGCAGAGTACTCCTGTGTGCAATCCCCAGTGTAAATTCAGCTGGGCACAATGACACATGCCTATAATCCCAGTGACTTGGGGTATCAAAAGTTCAAGGCTAACTTAGCAAGACCCTGTCTCAAAATAAAAAATAAAAGGGCTGGGGATGTGGCTAAGTTCCCCTTGGTTTAATTGCCTGTACTGCCCGCCCCCCATACAAGTGTACAATTCCATGGTTTCAATATATCCATAGTTGTTCAGTCATCATTGTAATCTGTTTTAGAAAATGTTCACCACTCTAGAAAGAAATACCTCATGCAGTAGTACTAAGTAGTAGTAAGTCCCCATGCTTGCTCTCCCTCACTCCTGCCTACCAGCCCTAAGGTATTGCTACTATTTCTTTAGATTTTTCTATTTTGGATTTTTCATGTAAGTAAAATCCTACAATATATAGCTTTTCTCATAATGTTTTCAATTTTCATCCATATATTGGAAAGACATCATATAAGTGCTCCATTCCTTTTCATGGATGAATAATATTCTATTGTATGAATATACTGCATTTCATTTATCCAAAATCAGTTGATGGACTGATGTTTTTTTAAAAAATCACTGGCTGCAGCTGAGGTGGTGGTGCACTTGGTTGCTTCTGCTTTTCAGCTATTATGAATAATACTGTTATGTATATTCATGCACATGTTTTTTTATGAAGTATGCTTTTATTTCTCAAGTATGTATACTCACCCTCTCTGTAAGGTCTCCTTAAGTTAATCCCATGGAATTGTTGGGCCATATGGTATAATGTTTAATTTTTTAAAGAACTACATAATTTTACATTCACACTTAGGGATATATGAGTGTTCCAATTTCCCCAGAGTCACCAACACTTGTTATTACTTGTCTTTTTCACCCTCCCCCCAGTTCTGGAGATCAGACCCAGAACTTGTACATGTTAAGCAAGAGCTCTACCATTAAGCTATGTTCCCAGTGCACATATGATGTGTTTTGAGTTAACTTTTTAATATGGTAAAAGGAAAGGGTCCAACTTTATTCTTTTGTAAATGTATACCCAGTTATTCCAAGCACCAAAGATGGTTCTTTCCCCATTGAATTGTTTTGACATTCAAGTTGATGATGATTTACATGTTATTAGATTCAGTATTCATTTTTTTCACTTATGAATTGGACTTCTTAGCAGAACTGTTGACTACTCCCTCCTTCAAATACTCTACTCTCTTTGTTCTCTTGCTGTTTCTTTTCAGTTTTTATAGGTTCCTTATCTTCTACCAAGCTTTTTTTTAAAATTTAATATTTTTAGTTGTCCATGGACCTTTATTTTATTTATTTACATGTAGTGCTGAGAATTAAACCCAGTGCCTTACTCATGCTAGGCAAGCGCTCTACCACTGAGCCACAACTTTAGCCCCTTCTACCAAGCTTTTAAATATTGGGTTTTCAATTACTTTGTGTAACAAATTATCACAAAACTTATTGGTATAAAGCAATAATTTATTTTATGACAGTTTCTTTCAGTCAGGAGTTACAGACTGGGCAAAACAGAGTTGGCCTACTCTGATCCATGATGGTTGGAGCATCAGCTGAAAGACTTAGGCTGTGCACTTACATGTCAAGCAGCTGATGATGACTATAGCTGTGGGGCCTTCAGTTCATATCCACATAAGTCTGTTTGTGTGGTTTCTCCATGTATGCTGGTTTGGGCTTCCTCACAACATGGTGGCTAGGTTCCAAGAGCAAGCATCTAAAGGGAAAGAGGAAGAAAGAAGCCTGGGGCCATGTGGCCTTTTTGACCAAAATTCAGAAGTTACAAAGCATCACTTTTGCCACATTTTAAAATCAAAGTAGTCATCAAGTCTTACCTCCATGTAAAGGGAGGGAAACAGATTCCACCTCTTTCTGGGAAATGTCAAGGTTCTATAATAGCATGAGGGCTGGGGATGCAGTTCAGTGGCAGAGTAGTTGACTAGCCTATGAGGTCCTGGGTTAGAGCTCCACAACCACAGGACAAAAAATCCTGGGACCAGTGACATTGTTGCGACCTCTTTTAGAAAGACAATTTGCCAAGTCTTTTTTGGCCACTTAGTTCACATTCTTCTCATATGTTAAATATACTCCACCTCTCCCCTAAGGTCTCCCGAAGTCTAATCCCATGACTGGCATCATGCTCAGGCTGAGCTTCAGGATCTCACTGAGGTAAGACCTAGGTGCAGGTAGAGATTCTTTGGGTATGGTTTCTTCTTTGCACTCTTTGGTTCTTTTTCATCTGAAAACCTATGAACTAAAGAGGCAAATACAGCCCCCACCCCATTACCCCTTATATAATGTTAAAGCATAGGATAATCTTCTTATCCCAAAAGGAGGAAACCAGGAGGCACATAGAAGTCACTGATCCAAAACAGTTGTCTTTTTACATTTTCTCTATGTGATCCATTCTGTTTCCATAGCTTTAAATACCATCCATATGTTTGTGACTTCCAAACTTACCAACATTTCTGAACACCATACTAGAATGTCCAATTAACCATTTTATATCTTTACTAAGTTATCTCAGATATTTCCAAATAAACATGTTAAAATGAACTCTTGCTATCTACTTCACCCCACTTCCTCCACAAATCTGGTATTTTCCTAGTTTCCTTTCTTTGTAGATGATCATACCATTCATTTAATTGCTCAGATAAAAATCTAGTTCTTAAGTTTTAATTCTTTTCTCTTTTCCTTTCTCCTCTTACATTAATAATCAACAGATTCTATATTATCTTTCTCTAAAGTAAATTCATTTCCCTTTCTCACCTGGTTTGTAACTGTATTCTTATCAATCACACTTATTCATTCTTGTTTCCTTCTAATTTTCTTTGACACAGCAACCAAAGTAATATTTTAATTCGTGTGTGACTAAGGCGTTCTCTTGCTCAAAATCTGTGAATTTTCACTACACTTTGAGTAAAATCTAAATCCTATACCATGGTCTAGAGAGCCTCCAAAACTGGCCTTTGCCTAGCCTGTAACTTTATTCTCTGCTTTGGTACTTACCCACCATGCTTCATTTCCTCTGAGTTTCTTTCGGTTCCTTGAACTCCTCCTGAGTTTCTTTTAGTTCCAAGTTTTCATAAAGGTCTATACACATACTATTCCCTCTGCCTAAAATATTTTCTCCTGGGGCTGGGGATGTGGCTCAAGCGGTAGCGTGCTTGCCTGGCATGCGTGCGGCCCGGGTTCGATCCTCAGCACCACATACAAAACAAAGATGTTGTATCCGCCGATAACTAAAAAATAAATATTAAAATTCTCTCTCTCTCTCCTCTCTCTCTCTTTAAAAAAAAAATAAATAAAATATTTTCTCCTGACTTACCACTCCCACATAACTGAGTCTTCATCTTTCGAAGGAATGGCATTCCTGACCATCCTACATAGGTACTACCCCATTTATTATTCTGTCACTACATTGTTTGTTTCCTTTATAAAACTTTTCCTGCATTTTAATTGTATCCTATTTGTTCTTTATCATCTCCTTAGCTGGATTGTAAATCCTAGTAGGTCAGGTGCCATCTCTGTGTTATGCACCAAGTGCCTAGTAGAGTTTTTAACCACACAATACATCCTCAATAAATATTTGTAAGAATGAGTGTGGTGGCTTATCACCTGTAATCTCAGTACTTGGGAGACTGAGGCAAGAGGACTGCAAGGTCAAGGCCAGTATGGACAACTTGGTGTGAGACCCTATCTCAAAATGAAAAATAAAAAGGGTTAGGGTTATAGCTCAGTGGTAGAGTGTCCCTGGGTTCAGTCTCCAATAGCACAAAAATAAGTACTTGAATATTGTTTAAAGGTATAATTTGAGGTGTTATTACTAATATAATTATTAATGTTCAATGTATGATTTCCTAATTTTTACTGAAAATTGCCTTTATTTTTCTCTTTCAGTAATTGCCCTTCATTTTTGGCTGCTGCGTTAGCCAGAGCCACATCAGATGAAGTGCTTCAAAGTGATCTTTCTGCACATTATATCCCAAAGGAAACGGATGGCACAGAAGGGAGTGTGGGTGAGTACTTTGTACATTATTTGTTTAAAAATCCTAAAATCACGTGTAATGGTCCACAGAATATATCTGCAAAATACTAAATCTAATTACATTTACCCACTAGTTGATTATAGAGTAGAGAAAAAAATGCAAAAACTTTTATCAAATAAATCAATAAAAAGAGAAAAGAGGAGACAACACAAATGTATTTTGAAAAAGTGTAGTAGTATATGGAAGGTAACTGTCACAATAGGAGATTGTCATAAAAATATGTAGGTAAATGGAAAAAGTAGTGAGAAATATGAATACAGAACAATAAGTGGATGAGGTGCGAGTTTGAACAAAACCCATTTAAAAAATTTAAATTTAAAATCTAAGTTAAAAATCAGGTATAAAAATTTAAGAAATTAGTTGTAACAAAACTTCTCATTAGTTATACTTTGTGTCTATCAGTGAATCCAGCTCTTAATGACAGGCATGTAACGTGTAGTTTAATTGTATGGGTCAACAGTCTTTTTTTCCAGGAATAGTATTAGCCTCAATTTCTTAATGCATATTTGTTAATGTATTAGGCCTATACATTTGACAGGATTGAAAGAAAAGATTTTTTTTTAAAAATTAGAGAAGTATTACTCTAAGCCACCTCTGTTTTTTGATGCTGGGGATTGAACCCAGGACCTTTCCCATGTCAAGCATGTGCTCCACTACTGAGTTATGTCTCCAGCACACAACTCCCTCCAATTTTAAGGAATTTTACTAGTTCATGCTGTTTGTTTTGTTATAAATATTTGCTTATAAGGTAAATAAGGAATGAAGTATATTATTAATTTGAATTGGAATGGCTAGATTCCAGAGAATGTGAGGCAAATACAAAAATAAACATTCCTGTTCTTTATCTTTCTAGATTTTTTTTTTTTTTTACAGAAAGTTGTCAAGGAAGGAATTACTCTGCTTGTTTTTAGTGAGAGTAATTGATTTACCTGGAACCAAACTGTTCCAGAGTCAAGCTGGATAGGATTCCTGCTACAAAGCATCGGTCTTTCCTCTGGTACTGATGCCTAAAGCACAGAGCCTTGTACATGGAAAGATAAGAGAGGTTAAAATTCTGCTTCACTGAGTCAGCGTGATGGCTGACTCAGCTCCAGCTCAGTACAATGACATTAGCGACTGATGAATAATTTACAGCTGTGAGGGGGTGGACTGCTACATTGGACGATTTTCACACCCCCTTTTTATTTTATTTTTCCGTTTCATGTGGCAATTATTTATGTACTGATACCCACCATTCCCTGCAGAAGAACACTTAATGTTGCAAGACTGAAGTCCTACCCTACATGCCTATTTTGGAAGAAATTTCTGAACCCCAGAAGATAGCGAAAGTAAAATGAAGGGTTTTTCTTTTGGTAGATATTATTTTCTAATTTTGTATTTTTCCAAGATATTACTCAGTAATGTCTTCTTCTATTGCTGTGATTCATACCGTACTGTAATTCTAAACTATTGGCAAATCTTTAATCTGTTTAGTCCAAATTACTCAGCGTGAATTGCTATAGGGACTATTGTGATAATTCATACATCAGAGTGGGACATGAGCATAATGAATAAGGCCTGCAGTCTCTAGCTTTTTAACATTTATTTTTTAGTTGTAACTGGACAACGATGTCTTCGTTTCATCTATCCATTTTTATATGGTGCTGAGGATTGAACCCAGGGCCTTGCACGTGTTAGGCAAGCGCTCAACCTCTGAGCCACAATCCCAGCCCCCCCAAAGTCACTAGCTTAAAGATACCGAAGGTCCCCAATGAATTACCAGTTTGTTCCTCGTCTTAGCTGTTTCCAAAAGAACTTAAAAAAAAAATCCTTTTCATATTAATGTCATACCTAACAGAATGTCTGCTAAGTAAACTTGCATATATGACTTGATACAAATTTTATTTGGTAGATGTAACCTTGTTCAGACCACCTGAAACTAATTTGAAATATCCCACTGAAAATTAAAAACACAAGGGAAAATTATCACTAATATGGAGGAATTTAAGAGAATTTTGATGTTTGTATAAATACATATGAAAACCTAAATACTTTCTGGAAAAATATAAATGAACAAAGTTTACTTAAAATTAAAAAGAGACACTGTCAAGGACAAAAACATAGGGATTGACCAAATCGGTGAATATTTTGGAATGACCAAAGAGGTATTACAATGCTTTTTAGAATGGACATTGTAATTACACAAAGAAGAAAAATTTGTGTAGCATAACACAATACCCAGACCTACCTTAGACAAAAGTAGAAGAGGAAATGACAGCTCAGCCTTAGTAATGCAAGTAAATATATTAAAATATTTTTATATTGACCATTAATTAATTCAGTAGATATTATTGAGGACCCACCATATGTCCCACAATGATAGGACAGAATTTGGCTCAAACCAAAATGTATCATTATGTTAATGTACACTTAGTAATTTTTTGGTTGTTAAGTGGCCAGAAGCACAACTCAAATTAGCTTTAGCAAAGCAGAATTTATTGGCTACGTTCCACAGTAAGGACTACACAGTTACCTTCAAATGATGTCAACAGAAGCTGGTATTTCTCCAACTCTAAGCTGTACTTTCTATCATTTTGATTTTATTTTCAGGCTCCATGTGGTAGCAAGATGACTGATGGGAGCAACATGTCTTCATTTGCCCAAGTTAAAGTTGAACAGAACAATAGTAGCTTTTCTCAATTGCTCTTACATAAATCACAGAATTTGCTCTAATTGGCCCAACTTGGATAGTTATCCATTCCTGAACCAATCACTGTGGCCAGAGGAACATGATTCTCTAGTTGGTTAGACTTGTATCACCTTTTACCATAGGATGCACATGGATTGAGACCGAGAAGGAAAAAGAGCAACATTTGCTATTTCAATCCATGTGCATATGTGTAATAAATTAGAGCAAGTTCTGATGTCAAATGGCAAATAGATAAAATAACTAGAAATAAACTGATAGGAAATATGAACCTGGGCAAAGTGGCACATGCCTGTAATTCCAGCTACTCAGAAAACTGAGGCAGGAAGATCTAGAGTTCAGGACAATTTGGGCTTGGGGGTATGGTTCAATGCTAGAACTCTTGTCTAGCATACACAAAACCCTGGGCTTGATGCCCAATACCACATACACTCACACAAAGAAATAGGAAGAACCTATATCAAAACTGAGCAACATGGATGGATATGGTGGCACATGCCTGTAATCCCAGTGATTTGGGAGCTTAAGGCAAGAGGATTGCAAGTTCTACGTCAGCTTGAGCAATTTAGCAAGGCCCTAAGCAACTTAGACCCTGCCTCAAAATAAAAAGGGATAGGGATGTGGCCCAGTGGTTAAGCACTCCTGGGGTTAAATCAGGTGGTGGGGGGAATCAACAACAAAAAAACTGAGCAACATAAAGAAGATTTAAATTAATGAACAAGGAGCAGAGTGGGTGGCACATGCCTGTAATCCCAGTGACTCAGGAGGCTGAGACAGGAGGATCACAAGTTCAAGGCTAGCCTCAGAAACTTAGGCCCTAAGCAACTGAGTGAGACCCTATCTCAAAATAAAAATATAAAAAGGATTGGGGATATGGCTCAGTGATTAAGCACCTCAGAGTTCAATCTCCAGTACCAAAAGAAGAAAAAATATATATATAATTCAATTAATTTATTCCTGAATAAGACTCAATATGAAAAAGATTTTAGTTTTTTCCAGCTTAACCTATAAATTCAATGCTATCCCAAACACAGTGGCAACAGGTTTTTCTGCCCAAACTTGGCAAAATGATTAGGTAGTTCATGGGAGAATGGGGATCAAACTGCCTAAGTCACATCTTTTGAAACTAAAGTAATAATGGGAAAATAAGTCTTCCTGATATTAAAACATATTTTAAGGTTATTTACCATTATAGAAGTGGATGGAGAGATGAGTGAAGCTGATGGAAAATCAAGAATCATGTAATATTATATAATATTTTATATAATAGCTTACATCTTCATTTATTCAAGTAACATCTAATGATACTCTTCTGTGTAGATACTGTACTGTGGCTAATCAAGGATAAAAGACACAGTCTGACCTGGGATTAAGAATGATTTTACCTGGGCTAGGAGTGTATAGCACTTGCCTAGCATGTGCAAGGCCCTGGGTTTGATCCCCAACTCCACAAACAATAATAACAACAACAAAAATAACAAAATCAGAATGATTTTACCTGTTTGTGAAATGTTCTATAGAATGTAGTGAATACTCAATAAATGTTATCTATTGTTATAAAATGTGGTTAAGAATAATTATAGGGGCTGGGATTCTGGCTTTGTGGTAGCGTGCTTGCCTTGCATGTGTGGGACACTGGGGTTCGATTTTCCAGTACCACATAAATAAATAAAGTAATAAAATAAAGGTATTGCATCCATCTACAACTAACAAAAATTTTTAAAAAAGAATTATAATAGTGTAGTATAATGGGAACATAAGGAAATGAGTAACTGGGAAAGGGAGTAGACAGCTCTAGTGGTTACTGAATATTGCAGGAAACTGGTATTGCTTTCCTTCACCAAATTAACCTATCAATTCTACTCAACAGATAGAGCAATGATGTAAATGTTCCCTACTCGTATTGTTCAGTGTGGTAACTATTGGCCAATGTAGTTATTTAGCAATATGGCTATCGTGACCAAAAACCTGAATTTTAAGTTGTATTTAATTTTAATTTAAATAGCCATATGTAACTACTGGCTGCCTTATTGGATGGATCGTGTATGTTTATATAATAAGTAATATACAAACCAAAGAATGATACAATGGTTTATATTATTATCTGGGAACTGCCCTAATTGTTAGTATCAGTTATTTGTTTTACCGCACCCCATTTACCCTCAAACTTTCTGAATTCATTTATTTTGTAATCTTCTGTTCTGACTGAGTCAAATAAGGACATATCCACTTCAGGGTCTGCATTGGGGACCTTTCCTGCTGCCAGGACCAGATGGGTTACAGTGATACAAGTAGGTCATTGTTGGATGAAAGAAATATTATATAGGACTGGGAATGTATCTCAATGGTGGAGCACTTGCCTAGCATTGCAAGGCTATGGGTTTAACCCTCAGAACTGCAAAAACAAAAATTAAAAAAGAAGAAATAATCTCTGGCAGCTGGTGCTTAAAACAACAATAACAAAAAAGAATTGCTCAAAACTATCAAAATATTGGGTTATTTATTGGCTTCAGTTTTCTTCTTGTACATACTCTTCAGGCTGTATTTGCTCTTTGAACTTTATTTCTCCTTTAGTTGTACACTTGATTTTCAGTTATATAAAACTGTTTAGGTGGACAGTGCCTCAAGACAAGATTTGCCACCCTGTACTGTTAATAGTGGGAAAAAAAAAGAATAACATTGTGAGGTCAGCTGTCTGAATATAGTTAATTAAAAAAGAGTTTTACCTAAAAATACAGGTAAATAGAGTCACAGATTAAAGCAAGGGCAGGACAGGAGTCCACGTTCCCAGGCTGTTGGGAACATATCGTCTTTTTTCTTCAGGATCTGTGTTCTGGATTGCTGAAGGCATCTGTAGCCACTGCCCATCTAGCACACATTTTTTCAGGCTGTCAAGCTATATCTGATTTAGTAAAGTAAAATAATTAAAAAAAAATTTTAACCTGAGATGTAGGAGAACTTTCTAAAATATTTCAGACTGTCAAGTTATATCTGATTTAGTAAAGTAAAATAATTAAAATTTTTTTTAACCTGAGATATAGGAGAACTTTCTAAAATACTGACCTGAGAAAATCTAATTGCCTCTTGATTATTCCAATAGCTGCAACTTGACTGGATGGTTAAATGATGTGATACGATCTCTTTAGTATACCATTTAGTGTGGTTAAAGTGTTTATGCATTCAACAGTCTACTGAGGGATACAAGTCTGTCTCAGAAGTCAGCTAGTCTATACCAGGTGTGGTGGCACACACCTGTAATCCCAGGAACTCAGAAGGCTGAGGCAGGAGGATCCCAAGTTCAAGACTAGTCTGAAGAACTTAGTTGAGATCCTGTCTCAAAAAAAAAAGAACTGGGGATATAGCTCAGTGGTAAAGGGCCCCGGGGTTCCATCCCCAAGCACTACAATAAGTAAGTAAAAGTTATCTAGCCTACACTGGGTCAAGTAGTGGAGAGATAGGGTGAAATAGTAGACCGAAGGTGAAGAATCCTGTTAGTATTGCTCTTCTGGTTGCTATCTCCTTTTTTCTATCCAGGTTGTCACTGACAGAATATAAGTACTTTTTTTTTCCCCCTTTGGGAAATCTAAAACATTTAACTCATAATTTAGCCTGTTGGCTAAATGAATTAAACTATTGCCTAAAATCCTAATAAACATATGAAATAACAAAAAATATATAATTCAGATCCAAATAACCATTTACAGGGGCCAGAGAATTTAAGGGACTGTACATAAGGGAAGAAGTCTGGAAGAAGGAGAGGGACAAAGACAAATTGGTACTCAAGGTGAATTCTTCCTATTCTATAGTTTGTAAGCTGTTTTCCTAAGCCTTTCTTGTTCCAATAAGCTGGATAACCAGGGTTCATACTAGTCATTCTTCTAAGCCTCAGAGACTTGCTTCTCCAGGTCATACTCATAGCAGTCAACCAAAAGGGTGCTGTAAATACAGTAGCCAGAGTATTTCCCCAGGCTGGGAGAGAAATCAAGTTCATAATAGGCCCTGCCCTGGCTGGAGATTTTCTCCTTAGGACATAAGGATATTTTAGTGGCAGTGTTGGCAAATGATTTTTTTATTAGACAGGCTGTCATTTTCTCTTTTCAGAAGCAGCATTTCATTTTTCTTGAGAAGGAAGAATTTCTTCTATTAAGAAGCTTGACTAAGGTGACCTACTTCTGTCTTTACGAAGCAGGCAAGTGGAAAGCAGTTTTACAAGGCTCTTTATTGGGGATTTCTGTTTCTTTCACAGAGATTGAGACAGTGAAATTGGCCCGTTCTGTCTTCAGCAAACTACATGAGATTTGCTGCAGCTGGGTGAAAGACTTCCCTCTCCGCAGGAGACCCCAGCTTTACTATGAAACATCAATCCATGCCATCAAAAACATGCGCAGGAAAATGGAGGACAAACATGTCTGCATTCCTGACTTTAATATGCTCTTCAACTTAGAGGTAAAGGGTACTTCTGGAGAGTCAGTGACATTTAAAAAAACAAAAGGAAGACCTTGGTGGTCCTGTTAGAAAAGAAGAATTAATTTATTTCTAATAGTATCTCTTATAGGTTAGAGTAAGATAAACTGCAAAGTAGCATAAATGTGCTTGCATTATGTAACAGAAAAGGAACTATTTGTTATTTTGATTAAGTTCAAATCATTCAAAATTGGGATCACTGCTATTTTGAACAGATTTACATGATTCAAAATTGGGAAAATAAAATCTCTCTTATCCTTGTCTCTTATCCAGTTCCCCTCCATGAAGCAAGGAAAGTTACCAGTTTCTTGTGTAAGCTTCTAGAGCTGTTCTATAAACATATAAGTAAAAAATGAAACCGTTACATTAATAAAGCTGTTTTTTTAGGGAAAATATTTCTACAATATAATCAAATACTATTTAATTCCCATAACACTACGTTACCATATGCAACACAAACATACGGAGTAAATTTAAAGCTGAGACAGTTTTTTGATTTTGTGTGATTTTTTTTTTTTTAAAGTCTTGGTCTCTGAGATGGGAAAGTAGTTGGAATTACATTTTATGAATTTCTGTGACTGACAAAGATCCATATGAGCCTTGTCAGCTTAATAACCATTTTCTTGATCACTTCCTCCTCTTTTTCTATTAAATGTATTATGTTAATGCAAACAGAGGTAGGTTTGTTTCCTTTGCCTGTCACTTGCCTCTCCTCTTCACTATAGTCCATAACTTAAAAAATACAATGTAGTGATTTACACAAAGCACAGTATTTCCTTCCTTCAGCAGTTAAATAACTTTTAGTGACTGTCAAGGTCTAATTGACAGTGATGACTAGCTGGTAATTGGTGCTTATGAAGATATTAGCTGATATCTGTTTCCAGTTCCATGCTCATGCAAATCTAACCCAAAGTCGAGGTGATAAACAATGTTTTTATCATTATATCAACTTAAATATTATATTCTGATTTGAGCGTCTTATTGCTAGTTTTTTTACTTGGTTGGTTTTTATTTTGCCTCTAAATTTAAAACAGCCCAAAGGCCTAACTCAGAAAGGAACGCCTTTTTAATTGTGAAACAAGCTTTGGGAGTTATTTGGTAACAAGTATTTAGGATTTTATGAATTTTCACAAATAGGATAATTTCACTTTTAATTATAAGGTAATAGAAATGCATAAAAGCCTTACCTTTTTTTTTTGGTACCAGGATTAAAATTGGGCACTCGGCCACTGAGACACATCCCCAGCCCTATATTTGTATTTTATTTACAAACAGGGTCTCACTGTGTTGCTTAGCACCTCACCATTGATGAGGCTGGCTGTGATCCTCCTGTCTCAGCCTCCTGAGCCGCTGGGATTACATGCATGCGCCACTGCACCTGGCAAGCCTTACCTTTATATTTTGCTTGACATATGTATTTTTTTGTGGTACTGGGGATTGCATGTGCTAGCTGCATCCTGAGTTCTTGATTGATATGTTAATAATAAAAAATTAGAAGTAACCTAAATCATTCAAGGATATGATAGTATCGATGCTCATAAGCTGTATAAATGACTTTTCGTACATATAATTTTATGTACACTATGATCCTAATTTTATTTTTAAAAAAATTTATGTATAAGCTCAATGATATGGCTCTTGTCTAGCATGTGTGAGGCCCTGGGTTCGATCCCCAATACCACCATAAAAAAAAAAGAATTTAAAATCATGTGGTAGGATTATAGGTGATAGTTTTTCATACTTCCTTTATATAAATAAAATATATATATGTGGTGCTGAGAATCGAACCCAGTGCCTCACACATACTAGGCAAGTGCTTTGCCACTGAGCTATAACCACAGCCCCCATACTTCTTTATTTTCATAAATTATCATATTTATAAGGAAAATGTCAATAAATGTTTTCTAAAGTAGACACTACTTTCTAAAGAAATCCACTCGGCTCCCTTTTATTTCTTCCAGTGCTATACTGAGTTGTTTAAAAATGAGTATTGCTTTATAGATAGAAATTCTACACAAATGGTTTTTCAAGACAATTGTTTAGTCAGTCTTCAATGACCTTCTACATGTTGTTGTTTAAATTGCAGAATGAACTAGTCATAATGAGTTTTAGACATAGATTGCTTTATGGACCTTCGTATTTGGTACTTTCATAAAAAAGAACTTTTTCAAAGCACAGATATACTCCGTTTTAATATTTCTTTCAAACTCAACTCTACTGAACATGAGAAAACAAGTGGGAAAATTATGATTTGCTTAAAAATCAATGACAGACCCTGAATTCCTATAAGAGTCCTAGACCCTAATGAAAGAGAAATGAACAGACTTGCAAATAAAAACCATACTTACTGTTAACCTAAAGGGGAGCTCAGGACTCAGTAAGACTTGAATGAATCATAGGTCCCCTAAGTCAGATATATCTGAGATTTAAACACTTGAGTTAAAGATGAATAATTAAACTACTTAGTGGTCAAAATGTAAATCTAGGATGAGGCTTCCTTTGTCAAGACAAAGCAAAAGGTTAGAAGAGCCTCCCCTGGCGGTTGACCTTTGTGAGAAAATGTGAAGCTAAATCTTAGATCTTGGGGCAAGACAAAGATGTCAGCCCCACAGGGCATTTGGGCATCTGAAGTGGTTCAAGTTTGGTTAACTAACTATGCTATTTATGAAAACTCGATCTGACCATGAATGATTATAAAGGAGACATTATAGTTTAGAACTTGTGTGTATGTTTTCTAAACAACCTGAACATTAATTGACCTTGTGCTGGAAGGCCAATTATTTCCTATTGTTCTCTGGCATTTTGAAAAAAGTACTCAATTCCTCCTCATACCCTCTCTTCCACCCCTCACCAACTTGTAACAGCAATGTTGAAGCAAAGTATGTGGGTGGTTTCCATGGTACAAGACAACAACTTTCACAGAGAGGGCACTTCAGCCTGAGCTAATTGGGCATGATGTGTTCCAGTGCTCAGTGTGTAAACACAGATGCCCTAATTTTGCAGGTATTTCAGTAGTTGAAAAGGCATGTTAAGAAAAGGAAAACCTTAAATCTGAATGACAAATGCCATAGAGAAGTAGGATGGGCAACAATGTTTCCTGGGGATTGGTTCATTTGAACCACACTGTATATAATTCTTAAATGTTCTGTGTTTCTATCAACAGGATCAGGAAGAACAAGCTTACTTTGCAGTGTTTGATGGCCATGGGGGAGTAGATGCTGCCATTTACGCTTCCATTCACTTACATGTTAATTTAGTACGCCAAGAGGTATTTCCCCATGATCCTGCTGAGGCTCTGTGCCGGGCCTTCCGGGTCACTGATGAGCGGTTTGTGCAGAAGGCAGCTAGGGAGGTATGCCCTTTCCCATGAATTCCAGCTATGAATGTCCTAGCTGAACTCACCTTGTTCTATTTGGTTAAAAGGGCTATTTTGGACTTTTCTCTTTCTGGGCAGACATTATCTAAACTATATCTTCTTGACCCATGGTGCTGGATTCAGTTGTTCTGAATCTAATTCCCTCTTCAGGAATAGTTTAGTGGGGTATAATGACATACCCTATAGAAACAATCAAGCTATAATTTTCTGGATTCATTCATTGCTGGATTTGGCAGGCAATTTTTTTCAGTTGTCGATGGACCTTTATTTTATTTATTTATATGTGGTGCTGAGAATCAAACCCAGTGCCTCACCCATGCTAAGCAAGCACTCTTCCACTGAGCCACAACTCCAGCCCCTGGCAGGAGAGTTTTATCTTTCCTTTCTTTCCCATCATCTGTCAGGTTCATATCAGGACCAAAAAGCTCTCTGAGCTTTATTGCTGAGAAGATCTGGATATGGTGAATATAAAACAATGGTTTTAAAAAAGAAAGAGAAACTAGAATTACTTCCGTACGTTTGGTTCTAAATGTGTAGGCAGTGTTTTGCTGTGTGTCTCTTGGAAAATTTGTTTGAAGAGGATAAATCCTTAGATGATCCTTGATCTGATCTGATCTTAGCAGGAAGAAAAGTCAGGCTCATGTCCTAAAGTTAATCAGATCTATTTTTTATTGTGAATGAAATTCAGGGGCTCTATATTAAGCTCTAAAAGTAAAAACTTTTAAGTATCATTCTGGCACGTAAGTATAGTATTCTATATTGGACTCCTAACTGGGGGCCAACTACCTTCTATTTTTTTAAACTAATTACACAAAAATACCACTCCTGTCACATGACTTAAACATTAACTCTTGTGGGGAGATCAGGGTAATCATTTAATCCATTTCTTTAATCTTACAGATATGCTGCAAAGCAATAGTGGGTCTCAGAATTCACGAATCAATAATTCAAAACTCCTTGTATTAAGCAAGAGAAATATTATGTATCTTTATACCCATCCTCAAGTTTTAATTTATATGCAAATCCAACAACAGTAACTACTAGGGTGTACACACAGATGTGCAGCTGGAAAAACAACAGTCAACAACAGTTAACCTCATATCCTCCCAGTCTCTTGAGGACTGGCACTGTGCGGCTCTGCCTCTCTTAAAGCTGCTGGCTCTTAACATTCTGAACAAATTGCTTTGTCTTTTTCATCCTCTAGTCTATTCCTTTTCTTCTGTCTCATCAAAATTATGGCCATATTTGTCTCCCTCTTTTTGACCATGTTTACCTAATTTGTCAATGGTCCTAGCATCTCAGTTTTACCGATAGATCTCTCCAATAATTTATAAATTGTCTCACTAGTCACTTTTCTCCTTGTGCTTCCATGTGCTGCTAACTGCTGGGAAAAAGTAGCTATTCCTATTGTGAAGCAGCCCAGCCTCCTGTTCATTCCAGGGCATATGCATTGAAGTGTCTTTATCATGTGTTCCAGAGGGCTGAGTTGGTGAACATTCTGTGTGGGAAGATATTTTATCGGTGGGTGAGGATTTATAACAAACTTTCCCTATATAAGGAAGTTGTTTTTCTCATTGGATATAAGGAGCCCTTTACCACCCCTGACACATTGGTCTAATTTAGGCCAGGTCCTTAGTAACAGAAAGTCATGCTCATTTGGTGGTGACTCACGTCAAATGGAGATATCATTTTAGTATCTTAGGATCAAGGGTTTTAAGTATAATGGTAGATGTTGCAGTGAAATTCCAGGCTGTTACTCTTTATGCAATGTTTCAAAAACAAAGGCCCCTAAAAATATTGTAGACACATTAAAAAAAATCCCCCCCAAAGGTATAAGCACCTTAGTACTTCAGGGAATGTATGCTATCTCTTGGCTCCTTATCTTGGGACCATATAAATATAAACCAAGCTTTACTTTGTATACCTGGGATTCCTATTGAACATATAGTAGGTCAATAATGAAACAGAGACTAGAATATGGAAATCTTTAAGGCTTGATATAGTGGATTTAGCAATGTACTGGAAGGAAAAAGAATTTCACCTCTGTTTTGTGTACTAAAATTACCTGCTCTCAGGACAAGTCACATAACCCAAACAGTTTTTTAAAAATCTGTATTTAAAATGGAATTAATCATCCCCTATCTTGCATATTATATATCAGGTAGATTTGTGTATGTGGTTAATAAGACAAACATGCATATAAAAATGCACGGAAAAACATGAGTTGCTATGTATTTGTGAAACTGCCTAATAGTCTACCTTCCAAATGAATAGTTCAATTATAAATTGTTTCTCAATGAAAATTTGATGTCTATTTTCATTGACTCTAGTTTTATCTAAACTATTTTCAGAGCTTAAGATGTGGGACCACAGGAGTGGTGACTTTTATCAGAGGCAACATGCTACATGTGGCCTGGGTGGGTGATTCCCAGGTAATGCTTGTGAGAAAGGGCCAAGCTGTTGAACTAATGAAACCACACAAACCAGACAGAGAGGTACGTATGGTTTGTTCTATTGGAGCACATGTCATAGAGGCAGTTTTCTAGTTATTAATTAGGATTCACTCAATTATTATAATTATTGCCATTAATCTCAGCAGTTGTGCCTATCTTCCACAAGAGAAGCTTTTCAGGAAGCTGATGAGTATTTAAACTGTTAACTATTAAAGTAGACGAATCAATCCTGAATATCCAGTAAGCTTCTTTTTATTGCTTTGCTCTTTAGGACGAAAAACAGCGAATTGAGGCCCTTGGAGGTTGTGTAGTCTGGTTTGGTGCCTGGAGGGTGAATGGAAGTCTGTCAGTCTCCAGAGCTATAGGTAGGAAAAACAAATTAATTTTGTTTCTCCTCTTCTAGCTTACTGTCTTATATTATCTCTGATCTGAGGAAACTGGAGATAATAATTTATATTATCAGTGTTTATATGTGTAAAATAATAATTGCCAGTCGCTTTTTAATTATTTGATTCAGTTAAACCTGATTGTAAACTTAAATCCCATTATAAAACAGGGACCATATTAAGAAATTCAAAACATGAGTTTAGCCAGGTGTGGTGGTGCACACTTATAATCCCAGCAACTCTAGAGGCTGAGGCAGAAAAATCACAAGGCCAGCCTAAGCTACTTAGTGAGACCCTATCTCAAAAATAAAAATGGGCTGGGGATATAGCTCAGTGGTATAGTGCCTCTGGGTTCAATCCCCAGTGCAAACAAAAACACAAAACAACAAAAAACCCCTAGGTTCTATCTGTTTATTGCTTTTTCCTTTAAATAGAAGCCTTTAATTGTTAGTGTACAAATCTGCCTAAAATCACAATGATCCTCATTTCATTCCATTTTGGGTCATATTTAACCAGTATTTTCCAGAGAATGGAAAGCTTTACATTTATTTATTTATTTATTTGTTTGTTTGTTTAATTTATTTTAAGAGAGAATTTTTTAATATTTATTTTTTAGTTTTTGGTGGACACAACATCTTTATTTTATTTTTTTTATGTGGTGCTGAGGATCGAACCCAGTGCCCTGTGTATGCCAGACGAGCGCACTACCGCTTGAGCCACATCCCCAGCCCACCCATATTTATTTTGTTCATAGCTTTACATTTTTTTTCAGTTAATTTAAAAATCACATAAATAACAGAATTCATGGGGAAAACATTGTACTTTTTATGTGAAAACCATTTTCCAAACATGGAATATAGTAATTTGTGAGATAACACTGAGGTTTTAAAGAATCTAAATCCTAGGACTTAAATTGTTTAAAAAAGGGTAGAAGTAAATGGAACTGTCTAAAACAAATTAAACAGCTGATTGGGCAAAATGTACAAGTGTAAGTTCAAAGAACTAAGCTGGGGGCTGGGGATATAGCTCAGTTTGTAGAGTGCTTGCTTTGCATGCACAAGGCCCTGGGTTCAATCCCCAGCACCAAAAAAAAAGCTGTTTCCATCTTTGTCTTACTTTGGGCCCTAGGTTTTTTATTTTAGGCTTGTGGTTTACCTTTACTTCTCAGTTTTTAGAAGAGAATATATCGAGATGCATCCACATGGATGATATATATATTGCAATTTTTAGTCTCTGCCTCCCTAAGACATTAAGTAATTGGATATAGAGTTAATATGGATAGAGTTCACATCTAATCCCTGAACTTAGTTATTACCACCCCAAAATTTCAGAACAGTAAGAAAATATGAAATGATTGATTTAGTTTCACCACTGATTTGAGTTCTTCCCACTCTTTAGGAAGGTGCTGGCAAGCTGTGAAGTGGCCCAAATATGAGCAGCAGAAGGCTGAAAGAGAAATAGAGCTAAAAGATTCTACAAATACCTCCTGAAAAACTGAGAGTTACTTTTACCTTATAATGGGGGAGTTAATAAGACCTCTGGAATAAGGCCAAAATTCTCATTTCTAAAATACACTCCTATATAGAATTATTTTTGACAACTGTAACCAAAGGCGGCTTCTTGATTTTGTCTTTGTCAGAAGATTGAGGGGTATCTTTAGTGCTTGTTATAGAACCGATATACTAGAGAGGATACCTGCCCTTTCTTAATTCTAAAAATAAAACACAAGATGAAACTAAAGTAGGGGAAGAGTGTCCTTGACTAAATGACGATCTAAGAAGGTAAACGTCATGGAGGAAGTGACTTTTGAGTTGGATGGAGGGTAGGGTTTAGGAAAGGAAATCCCAGGTACAGAGAGGACTATAAATACCTGAGAGTTTGAAAGGGCATGATGGGTTTTAAGAATAGCAACAAACACAGGAGGCTGGAACAGAGATGGGAGAGCGGTAAAAGATTAGAAGTGTTGTTGCCAAATGTGAAGGGCTTTATAGCCGAGGCTAAGTAGTCTGGACTCTACCAAGAGAATAAGCAGAGGGGCCACATGATCAGGTTTTTATTTATAAAGATATATGCTGTTACAGTACAGAAGATGGATTAGAATAGCAAGAGCCTAGCAGGGAAGTCACTCAGGAGGCTGAGGATATGGAGGAGGGAGATAGACTGGGAGGTTGTGGGGAAGAGGAAAGCTAATTTCCAGGATTCTGCTTGTGACTGGAAAGATAGAGCATTTGTTAAAAGCAGCAGTTTGGTGGTGGGGATAAACAGATAATGAGTTTGGATACATTTTATATTATAGGTAACTATGCGGATAACTCGGATGAGAATTAGTATGCAGTTAGAAATACAGATCTGGAGTTTAGCTGAGAGTTCTAAGTTGGAGATAGAGCTTTGGGAACTCATCCCATTTTAAGTGATGATATTAACAATCACTGTCATTGTATAAATACAAGTAGCTTAAACTATAGGCATGGATGACACTGTCCAAAAAATATATGTTGTGTGAAGACCCCAAGATGAGGCTCATTACTGAAGGTAGAATTGCATGGTCAGGTTCCCTGGGTTTGTATCTTGACTGCTACTTTACAACCTGTGGATCTTGGAAAATTTCTGTATCTATTTGCTCCTTTGTAAAATGTCAATAATTAAATAATACCTAGCTCCTGAAATTTTTATATTGAATGATGTAGCACAGGCACCATACTTAGAACCAGCCTGGCACATTCTTAGCATACAGTGATTGTTAGCACTGTTGTTTACAACTCAGTGAAGACAATCAAGAAGTGAACAGAGACATAAGTAGGATATTAGAGATGCTAGAAAAAGATGATTTCTACAAGATAGCAGCCAGCAGTGTCAAGTACTGTTGTAGAGGTCAAGTGAGAAGTGAGTTTAAAAATGATCTGGATGTAATATTTGAAAATAATTGGTGATATCTGAAAAAAACAGTTTAGATTGGTAGGTGGAAAAACTTATCATCAGGTTCAAAAAACAATCAGGGAAGGGGAAACAGGCAAAAATTTCAAGGGAGCCAGTAAACAGAGGAGAAAGTAAAAATGAGAAAGTAAGTAGCCAGAAACCTAGGGAGGCAGCACCAGCACACAGGTTAGCCCTGAGAAGGAGAAGGAGACTTCTGACTCTGAGAAAATGGTAGTGGAGATAGGTGAATCGAATCTCTTGCTCAGGAGGCTGAGGCAGAAGAATTGCAAATTCCAAGCCAGTCTCAGCCACTTACTGAGGGCATCTCAAGATTTAAAAAGGGCTGGGGATGTGGCTAAGTGTCCCTGGGTTCAATCCATGGGATCAAAAATGAAAAGAAAAAAAAAAGTCCATCTATCAAAATCTAGTAGCTTATTGGATTTATGGAATTGAAGAATCTGAGAAAGATTTTGAAAACTCATAGAATAAAACAAGGGCTAAATAAGGAGGGAAAAGTGAAAGTGCTAAGGAGCAGGGTTTACTTCTGCTTAGAAAATAAACGATAAGCTTTTCTATTGTTTCTCTCTATGAGCCCTTCAGATTTATGATCCAAAGTTGACAGAGGCACGGTATGTTTCCTAGCAGATGGAGAGGTTTGAAGACAAAGGATGTTGTCATTTCTACCATGAGATGGATGTTCATGCCCTCCTACCAAATTTGGGGGCGAAATGTCATGAATTTGACACCCAACAGTAGAGCAGGTGAAAATCCAGAATTTTGGCAGCATTTTCTCTGTGCAAATCTTTGTATGTTCTGTTCCAAACTAACAGTTGCAGTAGTCTTTTAGTTGTAGTACTAAAACAAGATTTTGGGGAACAGTTTGACTCAGATCACATTTATTTTTAGAGGTGGAATTTTAAAAAATCATGGTAATTCAGTCAGGTGCAGTGGAGAAATTAAGTGGACTAATGAAGGACAGTGAAAACAATGACTGGAAATCTTAATTAGCTCTTAACAGGCAATACAGTAAAGAAGTGAAACTGGCTGGGCGCAGTGGTACATGCCTACATTCCCAGTGGCTTGGAAGGCTGAGCAGGAGGATCTCAAGTTCAAGGCCAGCCTCAGTACCAAAAAAAAAAAAAGAAAAGTGAAACTGGTAAAATCAAAACTGTGCTTGAGAAAGATGTTTTTGACTATACTGTAAAGAAGTAATGAATGAAGAAGAGCCTTGACATGGAGTAGGATGTGAGGGAGTTACACACTGGAGTCTAGAAGTGGTAAAGCTGAGCATTTATAAGATAAAAAGACTAGGATCTTATTTTAAGTAATTTGTCTGTTTTTCTTATATCCGGCTATGCCACTACTGGACAGGTACAGCATATTGACTACATTGGTTCCAGGAGTCATCCACGAGGTTTTTGTTGCACTTTCTGGACCTACTTAAGGATTAAACAAAAATGTAAAATGTTGGAAAGGAATCTTTTTGAGCAAGAGAGAACCTATAACAGATATGAGGAACAATGAATACATAGCCAGGTCACTTAAGTATAGTTATCTTCATTTTATCTTCCCCTAGTCAGAAAGTTTATTCTAGTGCAATGGGAAAAGACAGTAATTAATAAGTTGTATAGGTAATAATTGGAAGAGCTAGAATTTGGAGCCAGGCAGTTTAGATACCATTGTTGGTGTTCTTAACCACTAAGTTATATGCCACTCCTTTTTCTAGCACTGAGAGGTTGAGGACACCAGCTAGGCTGTAAACTATAGAAAAACAACAAAGGTAAACAATGAATGGAGCTGGCTAGTGCTCTAAACCTCAAAGTTCCAAAGGCTTCTTTTTTGTGGTACTGAGGATTGAACCTAGGGGCTCTACCACTGAGCTACATCCCTAGCCCTTTTTATTTTTTGTTTTGAGACAGGGTGTAACTAAAGTTATAGAATCTGGCCTTAAAACTTGTGATCCTCCTACCTCAGCCTCCTGAGTAGCTGGGATTACAGGCGTGCATCACCATGCCCAGCACCAAAGACTATGTAGGTGATCTCAGTAATATGGTGATAGAAACATGGGCCCAAGGTCTCTAGTTTATCTATGTACACATTACTCCCCAACATTTACCTGTGTCTTTGCTTATGCTATTCCCGCAAGCAAAGGGGAAAAATGCCTAGTGATAACTAACATATTCTTCAAGGCTTAGCTCAAAATTCATTCTGTGAGTAAATGAAAAGCAAGAAAGGAAGGCCCAGTAGGGCCTTGGGGACTGGGGGCGGTGCATAGTGTCACAGTTGTTAAGAAGTAGGGGGATTAACAATAAAAATAGAAGGGGGTAATCAGAGATATATGAAGAAAGCAAGAACATGGTAATTTGAAGGGAAAAATGGTTGTATATTTTGTGTGTGTTCTCTGGAAGTCAAATAAAGCAGCATTACAAAGTACAAATCCAGGCGGACTTAGAACCAGGAGACATGCATTCAGGTTCCCTGTGTGAGGCCTGGCTTGAGGGAGCCACACTTGAATTTCAAAATCCCTTGTAACTCAGACCTTTCTCTGTGCTCACAACATGAAGCTATTTATTGATTTATAAATAAGAATAGAACAAAAATTGTTTAATGAAGAGAATGATCAGAACTTTGGTTTTATTTTTTTCAATGTAGACTTGTTTTTCAAGTCACAGTTTAATTAAACCTAACCATCAGTAAAAAACTGATCTACTAAGTCAACAAGGACTGAATTTCTCAGTACAGCAACAAACTTAGATTTAATATTAGTTGCTGCCATACTCAGCAAAGCCTAAATAATAGCCAGAACACAAGATTCAGAGTATAAACTAGATAAGGAATGAAGTTCAGTGACTGGCAAATTTTTAACTGGGATGAAACCATAAGCAGAATCTGATTAACAGAAATTTTTATCTAAAATTATTTGATAAATTATTTTCATTAAATCCCAGAGGGTGCTGCATATGGTGACATATACCTGCAATCCCAGTGACTGGGGTGGCTGATGGAGGAGGATCTCAAGTTCAAAGCCAGCCTCAGCAATTTAGTGAGACCCTCTCTCAAAATTAAAAATAAAAAGGGCTGGGGACATTGCTCAGTTGTAAAGCATCCTGGGTTCAAGACACTTTTTAGCCATTGTTTTCCATCTTTTGCTTTCCTTATACCTCCCCTGTCCACTTTCTATTAAAAAAAAATTATGATCAGATGTCTGCTTTCTGATGGTCCCACTTTTTAATTCCCACAGGAGATGCTGAACACAAGCCATATATCTGTGGGGATGCAGATTCCGCCTCTACTGTTTTGGATGGGACAGAAGACTACCTCATTCTGGCCTGTGATGGCTTCTATGATACTGTGAACCCTGATGAGGCAGTGAAAGTTGTGTCTGACCACCTGAAAGAGAATAATGGAGACAGCAGTATGGTTGCCCACAAATTAGTGGCATCAGCTCGGGATGCTGGGTCAAGTGATAACATCACTGTTATTGTGGTATTCCTAAGGGACATGAACAAAGCTGTAAATGTTAGTGAGGAATCAGATTGGACAGAGAACTCTTTTCAAGGAGGGCAAGAAGATGGTGGGGATGATAAGGAGAATCATGGAGAGTGCAAACGCCCTTGGCCTCAGCACCAGTGCTCAGCACCAGCCGATCTAGGCTATGATGGGCGTGTGGATTCATTCACTGATAGAACTAGCCTGAGCCCAGGGTCCCAAATCAACGTGCTGGAAGACCCAGGCTACCTAGATCTCACACAAATAGAAGCAACCAAACCTCACAGTGCCCAGATTTTGCCATCAGTTGAGATGTTTGGTCTTGGTGCACCAAAGCAAGCAAATCTTATTAATGAGCTAATAATGAAGGAAAAATCAGTTCGATCATCATTGCCTGAACGGAATGGTGCTGGAGAGTTTCCAGGGCAGCAGATATACAGAATGGAGAGCTTGTCTCTTGTCTGTTCTGGGTTGGAAAATGAACAGTTCAAATACCTGGGAAAAAGAGTTTCTAGATTGTATCATTTACGCCACTACTACTTCAAGAGGTGGCACGGATTCAGGTTCAATCCAAAGTTTTATTCATTTCTCTCTGCTCGAGAGCCTTCCCACAAAATGGGCATCAGCCTGTCCTCACTTACTCGAAGTGGGAAGAGAAATAGGATGTTAAGAAGTTATGTGCCATGGAGGGAAAATAGTTGGAAAGGGTATAGTGAAAATACAATGAGAAAGGTCAGAAAGAGTAATGATATTCCATATGCAGATCTTCTCTGGAGCTATAAAATATAATACGTTTTCTTTACAGTAGGCTAGCTAGCTATCCCTCAATTAAAAACAACACTATCAGAGTAGAAACAAGGTAGACATTTCTAAACACATGTGCTTCAGTATGAATCCATGGATGGGTCAATTCTTAAATGTAAATAGATCTCTAGGAAACTCAAATTACAGTGTTTTCAATCTAAAAAAAAAGTATTGGCGGTTTCACTAGCAAAATTATACAACTGGTCCCTGTGATGTGTCTCTACACCTACATAAATCCCCTCTCCAGCACCCCTTCACGTCACTAGTGGAAACTTGAAAGTTATTTCAGTCAGGATATATTGAAATATATAGTGTTGAAATCTCAACTCAGTTGAAATCTGGTCTGATGTGCCTAATCTACTTACAGAGAACAATGAAGAACTAAATTAGGAAACATCCCTCAAGATCCTGGGGACTAAGAAAGATCCCCCCAACCTTTTTTTTTTTTGGCAGGTGAAAGGCTAAAAGCCATATGGGTTTTAACTGGTAATGATGAAAGTGGAAAACTAGTGTAAAAGTGTCATATTCTCAGGCTTGTGAGGCAGTATACAAAGATTTATTGACTTTTTTTTCTCTGTAACATAAAACATTTTGAATCAAATATTTCCTAGGGCAGCAGTTACTTGGGAGTTTCATAACCTGTTATGGTGCTTTTGGTGGAATTTTTATTTGTCATTTTATGAGACCACTGTCAGCTGGTTTTAATCTATGATGCTAATGTGTTTTCATTGTACCTCATCTCAGGAATAAAACTGGTTTAATAGAGATGATGTCAGGTACAAACATACACAAGAATCAAAATGCCATTTAAAAAGAAAGTTAAATACCATTTTTTTTGAAGTTCACACATAGCAAAGATATGTACTACTATAATATATAAAAAGTGGCTTTGGAGAATGAAAAATGCCCATTTTAACTTCTCTAATATTGTTTTTCCCAAGGGAATGAAGTAATTGGTATGCAGGAGGCTGAAAGTACTGCCTAAAGTGAACACAGATGCCAAATGCAAAGGAAAATGCAGATTACTGAGCCAGGTCTGTGTAGTTACAATTGGAAGATATGAGCCAATAGAAACAAGGTACATGCAACTTCATACTGCAGGGACAGGATGTGCGCTTATTTCAATATTTAGTTCTATTTGACAATTTTGCTATTTCTGCAGTTTTAAGCCAGTAAAAGACAGCAAATAAATTATCAGATTCATAAATTATCAGATTCATAAATTATCAGATTCATTCAGGGAAGCACCCTCTTATTCTCTCAGAACCATGGAGTCCCCCAGTTGCCCTTCCCTAGTTGACTAGGGACCAGCCATGCCCACAGAAAGGAGTAGCCCTGCTGTACTGACTGATCACTCATGCAAGCTGGATGTACTAAATGTCCACCATCTAATCATGTTTTTACATGCTGATACAATTGGTTTATGTTCCCTAGACCTAGGGAGTAGGACTAAAATTCCATAACATAGATGAGACAAAGACACAGATGACTGTAGCATATTACAGGGGCCAGTATGGCTATATCAAGTAATTAAAAAAAAAAAAAAAAAAAAAAAAAAAAACAAACACTTTAGCAACAATCAGATTGTTAATCTACAGATTTTATTTTTTAAAATTTGGATGTTAAGTAGAGATTTTCATTATTTGTTTTCTCTTGACTTTGAAGTAATTTATTCTTTCCTCAGTCTTGTGACACATGGTTGAAAAGGAGAGAATAAGTAACGTCTCCAGCTATATATATTACAAATTTTCATCATTCTGATGCTTTGCCCCATACATGTACCTCACTTATATCATTTTCTGAAGCCTAGATCATGTTGACAACCCTCCAGATGCAGTCTCAGTTTCAAATCAGATTATCTAAGGAAACAAAACACAGGCAGCAGAATATTGGTATACATTATAGTCCAAAATGCTTTTTTTTTTAAAAAGAACTTTCCATAGTTGTCTCTTTTGGTCAGATCTGGCAAAAGGGAAGAAGTTACAATGATAAGCTTTTTAAGTGAGGAAAAAGATGGCTGGATGGAACTGGGACAAACAGACACATTTTTAAAGGTCTGGGTTTTGTAGGTCTGACTATATAGCAGTGTTAACTCCATTTCTCATATCATTAGCTCTCTCTAGAAAAACAGAAAAGTAGTTCTAGTGTGGTCAATAAACCAATATTGTAAAAAATAGCAACTATTCATTTGTTCACAATACGCGTAATCATAGGGTAGTTAGGTACCATTTGTAAGGTAAGTCCTTTAAAATTCTATAACACATTATTAAAGTAGTGGTTATTGGTCTGATATATGCTGCTCTTGGTTCTATACAGTAGATAAAAAGCAGTGCTTTGTGAAATGCAGTGTTAATATTAATGCCACTGGTGATAGAAAGTAGCTCCCTTCAGTTCAAATCCTGTGCCCTTATTTGCTGCTTGCTAACGTAAGCAATAAGTAACCCTCTAACTAATGGTATCTACACATTTCTGTAACTTGTATTTAATGATGGTGTATCTGGTGATTGTAAAAATATTAGATATAAAAGTATAATATACACTAACTGTTAATGCTGAGGTATAGTCTGAATTATGTGTTTTGTACCTTTACTCATCGTGTAATTTAGTGGTGGTGAACGTTCTACACTCAATCCATAAAGAGTGGCAGTATCCCTTTTTCAACTTACCATGATCTGCATCAATTTGTTTGCCTGCTAAACAAGTTTTGTTAGAATAGGAAATAGTAAAAACAAAACAAATATAAACAAGAAAAGTGTAGTACTGGTTAGGGAAACAGACTTCAAGTCACCATCTGAAGTTATTATAAACTCCTTGTACATTCACTGTGAGTTTCAAGGGGCGTCAGTCCCTAATTTAAAGGTTTCCTTTTTCACTTTCTAGATGTGTACTTTTGAGGGATATCTGAGGTTAGGCAACATTACAGCACCAAATACTTGGGGCTATTAATCCCATTTAGGTCTGTACTACAGGGGTCAGGTAGAAACACATGTATATACCTTTTCTTTACCTAGAAGTGCCATCCATTGTCCTTGAAATACAGCGACTAGAATTCCTATTACATTTAATTTTAAGTCGGAGGCTCCTTGAAAGTTAACACCTTAACCAAGGACAATGTCAATCATGTCAATGTCAACACTGAGTCTAATTCTGACCACATTTATAGTGGTATAGCATCAACACTGCATTTTCATGACAACCACACTCCATTGTTGGAACACTGTGCAATGGGCAGATGAAAATGACCCATTTTCAGATAAGATTGCTGTGGTCAAGTACTTCTTTCCCCAAGTACTTGCCGAGAATTTGTGAGAAAATGATCTCAATAATTTTTTGTGTGGTGCTGGGGATTGAACCCAGGGCCTTGTACATGAGAGGCAAGCACTCTGCCAACTGAGCTACATCCCCAGCCCTCAATTATTTTAATTTTTAAAAATTTGTTCACTCAATGAGCATTTTCAAGCAAGGCCATAGAAGGGGAGATACAACAATTTAGTTCACACCTTATCATGGGACAAATTTTTCTTTGGATCATAAATCAGCATGATCTGTGAAAAGATTAAATACTGCCAGTATTACAACACAGCTATCTTCCAGACATATGGTACTGTACTGAAAAAATAATTACTTCCTCCAGCAGCATTTTATGTATTCTGAAGACTATATTTATTCTACTAATTAGAAAAAAAATGAAACAGGACAGGGAACTCCAGACTGATATAGCAGTTACTATTGAAAAGGAAATACTTTAAATTAACTTTGATGTATTAAATAATCCAGATACATCATTGTTAACTCTCTAGGTGCTCTTTGGTGAGAGACAGGCTTTCTCTTGTTCATGTCATTTCTCTGCAAAGAATTCTTTATGGAGTGAAGTGAATATTTCTTATCAAGTAAATTTATCAATTTACAAACCTGCTGTACAGATCACTTTTGAGTTCAGTTGTAATCATGAGTGATCCTTCATATTTTATTTATTCAAAATGTTCATTCAGGTAAAGAATATGTTTGAAATTTTGCCAATATCTTAATAAACCCAGTAATTTAAAATCACTAAGTCATTTTTTTTTCTTTAAGAGAAAGCTAAATTATTTAATACTTAAATTACACAAATTGGGGTTGGGGGGGGGGGCATCCCGGGAAAGCCTTAATTAGGGACATTAACAGTGGAGTTAGTGAGAATTCATTCCTTTTCGGAATGGGGAACGCTTTGCGTGTTATCTTTGTGTGGGGGCCATTCTAATCTCTGTGTAGTTTTTTTTTTTTTTAAATATTTATTTTTTAGTTTTCAGCGGACACAACATCTTTGTTTGTATATGGTGCTGAGGATCGAACCCGGGCCGCACGCATGCCAGGCGAGCACGCTACCACTTGAGCCACATCCCCAGCCCCTCTGTGTAGTTTTAATGTCAGTGTATGTTCACCCAACCACTCAAATTTTCCTCTTTTGAAACTAAATGGGCATGGGCAAAGTAAAGCAAAAGATAAGAATCTAATGAGTTATTCGGTTGAATGTCTTTATGGAGGTTTTCTGTAATAACAGGAGACAAATGTGGGGGAAAGAAGTAGGGCAATTAAGCAAGACAACTGCATCTAAGGAAATGGAACTAACCCCCCTAAACCTAGTTAACACATTGTGAAATTTGAAAGCCTTAATGGTGAGAACACTAATTTCCTAAATTAACTCAGTCCTTAGCATGACTTCATGTACAGAAAAAAAAACTTTTTTTTGAAAGGATACTTGAAGGGGTTTGTTTGAAATCTCTCTTTGAAACAACACACTGCCAGATATAAGGCATAATAAAATCATTTGAACTTAGTGGAAAGAATCACAGCTCAGAAGGAGAGAAGATACTTAGCATGCCATAGCACCGTTAAAAAAAAAAAATGGGGAGCTGGGGTTGTAGCTCAGTGGTAAAATGCTTGGGTTATATCTTCAACACCTCATAAAAACAAAATAAAGGTTAAATGAAAAAAAAATTCTGGATAGTTTTTTTTTTTTTTTTTGGTGCTGGGGATTGAAATCAGGGCCTTTTGCACGCTAAGTACACTCTATACCACTACACTCCCAGCCCCGCGTCATCTATTGATATCTTTGAACACTTCAAACAAATGGGTTTCTTTCCCAAGACTCAAAAAAAAAAAAATGCTTTTCACTGAGCAGCTTGGTTTGGCTCCAGTCATGGAACCTCTAGGTAAGATGTGCCCCACCCTCATGATGCAAGCAGGGCCCCTCATAGGTTCTAATTCTTCTGATCCTGATTTAGAACCAGGGAAACAGATGTGAAAAATGTCCAGAATGATTCACATTTAGAGAAACAATTTTCCAAATGAGTAGATGGACAGATGAAAAAGTCCCTGCCAGTCATTACGCGGGATGACATGAAAGCTAGAGCGTAAGGGCTGAGCAACTAAGCCAAGTAGAGTTGTAATAGACTAATCAAGAAGAACAAAACAGTGAGAGAGAAGCCCAGGGAGCAGCCCTTTCA